TCTGTGATCTCATGGGGATGCATTAGCTCAGGAAAGGCTCTGCAGTACCTGGGGCCATGCCAGGATGGGTGCTCAGACTCTAGTGCTGATCATTTGTGTTAGTGTTACAGTAAAAAAATACTCCTCATGTGTCAGTCTGAGGTTCCTGGGCTGACAGTGTGGCTGGCAGCTTTCTGACTTTCCTTGTCATGCCTCCGTCTAGTTATTCCCACCAATGTCTCTCTAAGACTGGCTTTCCTTGTAATGGAAGGTCTCCATTTGACCATCCTGATATAAAGAAACTATAGTGCCTTTTGAAAGCTACAGTAAGTAACATGTGCCAACAAAAACTAGTACGTTTGGGCTTGTAAGAAATAATATATCCCTTTTACAGTGCTTTTAAGAGATTCAGTCACTGGCCTTAGTTCCCTTGTGCCCTAGATGTGCTATCTGAACTGAGGCTGGGAGGAAATCAAGAGCGTTTAACCAGAAGACGAACACCCTGAGTGAAACAGCCCAGATAGCAGAAGCAGACTGCAGAGCAGTCAAAATGCAGAGCTCAATTTTAAGCCTAATTTGAACATTGAATGAGGTGCTAATATCTGAGATACTGTATGGAGTCTTTTCTCAGTCTTCTGTTCACGTTCTGTGAACAGAGTATAGCGGTATATATAGAATGCACAGTGAAAAACTGGCTTTGTGCAACTGGTGCAGGCGGTGCAGGGTGAAGGCGAGTGTCTGGTTTTGGTGATGAAAATAGAAATCTGTCTTCATGTCTGTGCTCTGGGGAGCTGATCAGAAATTTTTATGGCATGATACTGTCATTACAGCTTGAAGAACCAATTTCAAACCTGGCTTCTCTAATTGCCTGGTAGTTTAACCTGTCTCCATTCCCCCATAAGAGGAGAACATATTGCCTTCATTGATGTTGCCTTGTTCATCAGTAAATGTAAAACAAATTGTAAAATCAGACCTGCTTGAACTAGCATTCATAGCTATTCATTCACTCACACGCAAACCAACCCCCTGATGCTGGTCCAGCTTTTTTCTTATACCAGAGAGAAAATAAGAAGTGAGTCAATTAATATTCTCTTTTCTTTTTGAAGTGTCAGGGAGGTGTTTGGATACCATGGAAATGAGCGACAATGTGGTGAAAAACTGGTTTAGAAAGTGTTTAAGAAGATAAATTTAGTCCTGGAAGTAGCTTTGCTGTGTTTTACCAGAGGCTTCTGCTTTTTTCCATTGCTCACAGGGTGATGTTTAGGATGGACTTCACCCGTTCCCAGGAATGCAGGGAAGGCCCTGCCCCGAGTCAAGTGGGACTAAAGGTCGTCTGAGTACTGGGCTTGATGTATGTTTGTGTCACACAAACAGTGATGGATACCTCTGGTTGCTTTTTTTCCCTGGGATGAGTTTTAATCCTGGTTAAATCCTATATCCCAGATCTGTTTGCCTTCTCCTGAAAGGACTTGTCTTTCTCTCTTTTGCAGGCATGGTTCAGAAACTTGACCAGAAGCTGCCTGTAGCCAACGAGTACCTGCTGCTTTCAGGTGGTGTGCGAGAAGGTGTGGTGGACATTGATCTTGATGAGCTGAATGTTTATGCACGAGGCACGGACTATGACATGGACTTCACCCTCCTTGTTCCCGCATTGAAACTGCATGACCGCAACCAGCCGGTCACGCTGGACATGCGCCACTCGGCTTTGTGCCACTCCTGGCTGAGCCTGCGTCTGTTTGATGAAGGAACTATCAGCAAATGGAAGGACTGCTGCACGATCGTGGATCATATCAATGGAGCTACCAATTATTTCTTCTCTCCAACAAAAGTTGCAGATTGGTTCTATGACTCCATTAGCATTGTCCTCTCTGAGATCCAGAAAAAACCCCAGCGAGGGATGCCAAAGGTGGAGAAGGTAGAAAAGAATGGGACTATCATATCCATAATTTTAGGCGTGGGCAGCAGCCGCATGCTGTATGACATTGTCCCTGTGGTGTCCTTCAAAGGTTGGCCAGCTGTGGCCCAGAGCTGGCTGATGGAGAACCACTTCTGGGATGGGAAGATCACAGAGGAGGAAGTCATAAGTGGGTTTTACTTAGTGCCTGCATGCTCCTACAAGGGGAAGAAGGACAATGAATGGAGGCTGTCATTTGCCAGAAGTGAAGTACAGCTGAAAAAGTGCATCTCCAGCAGCCTCATGCAAGCCTATCAGGCCTGCAAAGCTATCATCATCAAATTGCTGTCCCGCCCCAAAGCCATTAGTCCATATCACTTGCGGAGCATGATGCTGTGGGCCTGTGACAGGCTACCAGCCAACTACTTGGCCCAGGAGGATTACGCAGCCCATTTCCTCCTGGGTCTCATTGATGATCTCCAGCACTGCTTGGTCAACAAGATGTGCCCCAACTATTTCATCCCCCAGTGCAATATGCTGGAGCACCTCTCTGAAGAAACCGTCATGCTGCATGCACGGAAGCTGTCCTCAGTCCGCTCAGACCCTGCCGAACACCTTCGAACTGCCATCGAACATGTCAAAGCAGCCAACCGGCTAACGCTAGAGCTCCAACGACGGGGCAGCACCACCAGCATCCCCTCCCCGCAGTCAGATGGAGGGGACACCAACCAGCCTGATGACCGATTAGCCAAAAAGTTGCAACAGCTAGTGACTGAGAACCCTGGGAAGTCTATCTCTGTCTTCATTAACCCAGATGATGTCACAAGGCCCCACTTCAGAATTGATGATAAATTTTTCTGAGCTTTCATCAATGTTTCTTGGTATTTTTTTCTTTTGTTTTGTTTTTAAAAACTCTTGCAGCGTGCAGGTTTTTTCCTTTGGTTTTTCTTGATGACTTAGTCTCTTGTTTTTTACATATCCAGCGTAGATTGGATCTGTTGAGAACAATCTGAATAAATTATAATTCCTGGTTCTGCAGGACGGTGCAGATTTTGAAACTGTATATTACTATTTCATATGCTGCTTTGATTTTTTTCACCCACCCAGCCCCATTGTCTGTGAGTAGTTTCTAAAGGAGAACATGCACTGTAAACACACATGCCACAGTGTAATGTAGATTTTTTTTTTTTTCAAGCTTGCATAATTTATGAACATTGATTGGCCTGGGGAAGGGACAACTGACCTTCCATTGCTTTGGAAATTCACTCCTTGTTCCATGAGCTTCCATCACCCTAAAGAAATGAGGAGAGATTCTGGGTTGGAAAGCACTACTGGTGATTTGATGAGGCCAGATCTGCTGGGCTGAAGCTCAGTTCATCTGTTCCTCACATTTCTCACACTAGGGGAGAAAGTTGAC